TGGTCAGTCAGCAACATGCATAAGCAAAATGTCAAAAAAGGTGCAAGCTGAAGACTTTTTTAGTTGTATGTTACAAAACAGACAACAGCAGACAGGTCCTCACGTCAGTGAAAAAGACAAATAAGTTGCAAGTTACAATTTTTTTTTTTATTGGGCTTTCTTTCTTTTGGGTTTATGTATGACCTAAGAACAGATGGGCCTTTTTTTAAAACACTGGGTGGAATTTTTGCTCGCGTGTAAAATGATTAAATGATGTTATAATTGTGTATCACATGTGCATTTTTCAATGTGTAGATCAACTCCCTCGCGTGTGAAGTATCGCCTACACTGAGATCTACGGAAGAGGATAAGGGCCACGTGTGATTTATTTAACCAAAAGAGATTTTTATTTTAGTTTTGAGATTAAAATCTGAATTCTGACTTTTTTGTGAGAATTCGGAAATGTTTTCTACTTTTGTTAAGATCTCAAAAATAGTTCACACGTTGCCCTAATCCCATCCGTAGAGACCAGTGAGAAATTACCATTGTATTCCTCAGGGAACAAATGGAACAATCACCTGCTTGATTTAGTATTATTTAGACTGTAACAGTTTATTGATGTTGTTCAGAAACGCTCCGCAGAGATCACATCCCCACTGCGCTCGTGTTCCTTGCTTTGTGTGAGTTCAGGACTTCTCTGATTTGTGCAGGCGGTGTATGTCCCTCGGATCAGAAAGAGCACTGAGATGAAGGCGTAGTAGCTGCCGTAGACGATGAACTGCAGGGAGAGCACTCAGTCAGTCAAATCATCATTATTTTAGTCATGCAATGCATACATTTTCAAGAAAACCTGTCAACATGTCATAGTGAAGGATAACCACAAGGTGTCGCCCTCTATTCACATTTTAGTTATACAAAATAAATCTTACATTCTTCCTCCAATTAGAGTTACATTCCTTGTGTTCTGTCATTGAAATAAAAAAGGACAGAAATGATTCCTGACGCACACACCTGCGTCACAATGTCCAGTCCCAGCGTAGCTTCATCAACGACTACAAGTGTTACAATGGTCTGCAGTAAAATGGCTACAAAAGTGTTGATACCGAAAGCCAAAGCGTAGCACTCCATGGAGAGGTTAGATGCAATCTGAAATCTAAAAAGATAAGTTATTAATATTTCAAAAAGAGAAAACGTGAGGAATGAAACTAACTTCACTTTATGCTACTTAGTACTTTTACTCCACTACATTTTGAAGGCAATTTTTACTTTTCACTCCACTACATTCATTTTATGGTGTTAAGCTCCAGCTCCATCTTCTCCCCCTTGAATACAACATATTAATCCAATACAGTTTTAGCTACCCAGAAAAAAACAAAATAAAATGGAGAAATCAGAGAATTTATGGTTCTCCATATGCAGAGATATTGGTTTTCAAAAATAAACAAGAAACGGACATGGTGATATTCCACAGTGAGCTTACGTTGTGATAGTAATGAGGAGCATGTAGCAGGACTTGAATATGACATAACCAGCGTAGCACGCCCAGATGCTGCTGGTGAGCGCCATGAGAAACACAGCACCCGTCGCCACTGCAGAGAACAAGCCCAGCGCCAGCTCCCCCCACACCGCCCAGGTCACCTTCAGGTGGCCCACGGAGAAGGCTGCTATAGCACCTGTCCCACAGAGCAGAAGGGGTTATTAATCATCGGTAAGGTATTCCAGTGGACAACACCTCCTCCATGATTCATTCATCCTCACACTTATTTATTTGAACGCAGCTCCTAAACTTATGCACACACGTTTCTTTAGCCTCCGCAGCTTTCACCCGGCTCTTGGAATCAAATATCAGCAATAATCTGAGAATCCATTACCTCCTATCTCTATCTCCTTAATTGAAGTAATTACTCTTCTTCTTCTCATGCTGAGCCAGGTTGAGCGTAAGCCAAAAGAACCATAGTGCTGCCATTCCCTTTTCTAAATTCACGTTTTCCATTTGAAAAATACCCACGTTTTCTCCTATGGCAAGCGAGATAGGTCCACGTTCCATCAGACATGGCCGTTTTTAATTACTTTGTTGTTGCTCTTTTTTTCCACTTTACTCTATAAAATGTGCTTGTGCTGCAGTCTTTGCCCCCCCCCATAAAACATGCACAATCAAGGGTTAACCATACCCCATGTGAAAGCAACCTGCACTGCATGTATACGACTTTCACTCGCACCTGCACATACCTTCATGTACCCTTACGTATTATGTTCATTCAGCTGATCAGTGTTTTATCGTATTTTTATTTTTATTTAATTGTTTATTTGGCAGGGACAATGCACAGTAATGAACACTTAAAACATTCAAATGTGTCAAGCGTAACAGTGCCAGATTTAGCTTTGAGCTCATTCCCTCACATTAAACATTTAAGAAAATTACATTTTACAAACATAGCAAAAACAAAATACATGATATGCAAAAAGTGTAAGAGAGCAAGAGCAGCATACACAAGTATTTACCATATGGCAGTACAATGTAGCAGCAACGACAGTATGTTAGTATTATTCATATTCATATTCTTAAGTACAAACCCTACCACTCTACACAGACCAATAACAAAGTTCAAAGGGCCCCATTCTGCTCCTTTTCAGGTTAATATCAGTATCTAGTGTCTCTACTGGGACATGTTATGCTTCAATGTTCAAAAAGCTCTTTATTTTTCCTCACAAAGCCTCTTTTCACCCTCTGTCTGAAACCAGAGCCCAGTCTGCTCTGATTGGTTAGCTGGCCTGCTCTATTGTGATTGGTCAACCACTTACAGATGTCCCGCCCCTTAGGATATAATAAACAAAGGAGTCCCACAAACCTAACACACTATAGCAAAGTGAAACCCCCAAAAAGCACATAGTGCGTCTTTAACTTAATTATTTTGTTTTACTTATCTTAACTTCTGTGAGATTTCAGTGTCAAAAAGGCAACTTTCACTATTTTTTACAGGTGCTTTTGTGCATATTATTCTGAGCAAACTCCCAACTTGAGTTCATGATTGTTCATCCTGTTTTTACATGATGATACTGAATCAGAATGAATAGGCTCAAATATGTTCCAACCAGAAATAGGAGCACCAAAATGTATCTTTCTTTCTTTATGTTTATCTCTTTCTATTATTACAGACTTAAAGCGATTCTTACCCACAAGGGAGCAGGCAGCCTCCACCGCCCCGTTGTAGATGGATGATGTAGCAGATGGCTCTATGTGGTCCCACATGAGCTGGACGTAGTTGAAAATCTGCTCGTATCCAGCTGTGGCCAGAGCCCACCACAGAGACCAATAGATGACATTCCTGCACGGTGGTCATTATTTAAACTGATAGTAATCATGATGAAGAGATGATGTGTTTATTTGCTGCAGTAAAATACATTGAACTACTGTATCATAAAGACAGGGTATGCAAACGTGTGAATGCTCACTAACGGTTTATGGTTCAAATATATGAGAGAAAGAAATTGCCTTGAAGAATAGGTCTCCCTGAAGCTCTTCCAGAGTAGATGGCCTGCACTGGCCATATTTTCCAAGCTGTGCCATCCTCCGCTGCCATCAAGCTCCATCTTCTCTTGCCTGGAGCCGACCTCCTCCTTATCCATCACCGCTTCCTCGGGCCTGTCTGCTCCCAGAGGCCCGGTCTGATGGGAACTGGAGCCCACAGCTGCATCCTTTTTCCCTTTGAAGAACAGACCCCTCTGGGGCATGGGCAACCAGAAGGAGATGAGGAAAGCCATGCTTACAGTCCCCAGAGTGATCGCATTAAGGTAGAATAAGTCCAATTCTGTAGATTAGAGTTCATACTTCATAAGAGCTCGCTCGAATTGTTGAAGACATTTCGTAAAAGGAGATATTTATCTGTCTTTAAGAGTATCTATCATCTAAATAGGGCTATCTGATCATCTTCATATATTTACAGCAAAACAAATCGGAATAGATATATCAATTTTTTTCAAGAATCAAGAAAAATCTCATTGCTCTTCAGTTTTTATCGGTAAAGGCCCTACCTGCCACGGAGACCAGCACTTGGGCCAGGCTCGCTCCAAACGTATATCCAACCAGCATGGCACTGCGCACGTAGCCAGTGGCTCTTTGGTAATTCTCAATGGGAATCACGCTGTAGATGTAGGAAAGGTAGGCCACCTCTGTGGAAGTCACTACACCATAGTTGACCTGTTGGTGGGATGGAACTTTTTAAATGAGAGCCAATGATGAAGCACCTTTAACAGCAATGCACAACATGTTGTAATCTATCTTTAGAAGTTAGTTGACGGTGGCAAATCCGCTAACAGCCCAAAACTGATCCAATAGGAAAAACGCACTGCCGTTTCCAAAATAATGCAATAAAAAAAGAAAAATGTACCACAACACATGAAAATTAAAAAACATCACCAGCTTCACAACACAACATTTAGAAAACATTCAAAATCCAGACGAAACAAACATGCACAGAGTTCGCTAGAAATCAAACCATTGCAAGCAAAAAAAATGCTCAAAACTGAACAAAAAATTCATTTAAAAAAAGTAACATGATGAGAGACATAATTAATAATCATCTTTATGTTCATCAGTCAGTTGTATTGTGTACCTGAAGGAAGACCATAGCGAGCAGCCCTGGAGCGAAGCAGAGCAGGACGTAGTTGGTGACCAGGAAGAGACCCTGCACCACGACGAGGGGCTTGTGCCTCAGGAAGTCCGTCAGGAGGAAGACGGGCAAAAGACACGCCAGCTTGGAGTAGGTCCAGATCGGGAACAGGTAGTTGGTCACCTATCGGAGACAGCGGAGGGAAGTAACTCAGGGAATCACTGTACTTAAGTACTATGTTGTCATCCTTTACTTGAATATTTCCATTTGATGCTACTTTACACTCCCCTAACATTTTGAACAGTGATTGTACTTTTTACTCCACTGCAGTTATTTGACCCTTATAGTTACCAGCTACTGTCTACATAAAACACACATGACATTTCTATGTGATACAATGCAGTACATTACTACACATATATTTTTAAAAAGTAGGAAGGAATAATGCATTATTCTATAATATTATAATATTTTCAAAACATGGGTACTTTTTGATTTTGATACTTGAAGTTCATTTAGCCGGCAATACTTCTACTTAATGAGAAACATTATGAATTCAGGACTTTCACTTGTAATGAAGTATTTTCAGAGCAGAGTATTTCTACTTTTACTGAAGTAAAGGACCTAAATACGTCTTTCACCACTAACAATCCTGATACAGGGAACATTGTTTTTGCCTCCTGTCTAGAGCCGGCATATCTCAGAACAGAAGAGGAGATAAGAGCTGCTAATAAAATATAAGTCCTCGACATGCCTTCAGTGACTCTACGTGTGGTTCATGTACGGGTCTGACATGCTTACCACTTCTCCAGAGATGTTCTTGTTTGGTCCCATCAGGTATGGTGTGAGAAAAGGCTCTGCTACTCTGCAGTAGGCAAAGAACCCATAAAGCGACAGGACTGCAGTGTGATAAGCCCAGCTGGAGGACTTCAGTTTAGCCCAGCTCCCCATGGTTTTACCTCAGCAGAATCTCCCACAGATTGTCTTTAAAGTTTTGATTTCCGGTAACCTGAGCACATAATAAAGTCTGATATCTGTACTGTCCCTCTGTTCATCAAGCTGTCAGTGAATATACACATGTATAATCTGTGTGAGTCACAGTTTATGAGCGGTAGACTTCAACCTGTTGGGAAACAGAGGGAAGCTGGGAGTGATTCAGTGGACTTTTTTCAGGTTTCACTATCAGTACCACTAGTGAAATGTAACTAAGTGAATTTACTCAAGAACTGTACTAAGTAGAATTTTAAATTCAGGATGTGTATTTAGTAGTATTTCGACTTTTACTACTTCAAACCCTTAATTAGTACAAGCCACAAGTCTCCAATCGATCCTTTCAGACAAGACAAGAGATAATTTAAGAGAGAAATTAAAAGTATTGGGCAAATTAAGCGTTGAAATAAGTTGACTCCCTGACCTTATGCAGCACGAAGGTATTTATTATGAATAAGGAATGATAAGTAAGTGAGTAACCAAGTATTTAACTAAACAGCTGCAAAAATAGCATTTAAATGCAAAATTGGGTATCAAAACCCAAAACAAAGTTAGTGTGTTGGGATTCGAGTTTCCTAAAAACCTCTTGGCTTGCATATATGAACAATTTGCAAAATGCTCTTTATTTTTTGTATAGCCTATTTCTTACTTAGTACTTATTCAATTTAAATTGGAAATATCTGATTTTATAGCTTGAATGTTTGTTTTCGACAACTTGTCATTTCAATTCAGAAGCTACTCGTCTGTGTTCCTACTGCGCATGCGTAGTGAGTGCTGCGGTCTGTGGCCATAGCAACGGTTTGTTGATAGTACAGTACCGTGGTGTAAGAGGCGATACTAGCAAAATGAAACTCAAGCGGTTCCTTCTCAGATATTATCCTCCAGGTAAAACCAATAATTTAATGTGTCCTAACTGTAACTTAAATTACTTTAATGGAGGCAACATGCCACTGTGCTAGATAATATTTGTTTTAACCTGCAATGCACACTAAAAAACATTATGTTGACTAGCGGTGTTAGCAATGATGCTATCTGAAGTTACTGATTTTGTATTTATTCAGCCGGCATGAGTGGCCTTTCCTGGGTTGAGTCATTTCTCTTCTTGCAGGTATAATCTTGGAATATGAGAAAGGAGGATGTTTGAGGACCAAATCCATCGACCTTTTGGATTTGACTCCAGAGTGAGTGAGTTGTATCCATGAAGTCAACCGACTAACTTTACCAAGAGTGTGATGCCATAATAACTTCCTGTGGGGGGTTGTTTTATCCTCAGTCACAAATACTGTCATTTTAACTAAGCTGGTCAGACATATCTCCCTATAGTGAACTCAGCTCTTTATATGATGGGTTTTTAACTAGTTAACCACGGTGAAGTTTTAGGTTGGATATTCCCAGTGGTGGAGGAAGTGGTCAGATTATTTACTTAAGTAAAAAAATCAATAAGAAAGTGATAAAACACATAAGTGAAGTCCTGAATTCGAAATTCTACTTAATAAGGAAAAGTATTACCATATAAAATATATTGAAATTGTTATTTTTAATGTACTTTTTGTCCTGTTTACTTTTGAGATGATCCTTAAAATAACATTTCCACATGCAGAACGAGCCCAGATGAGCTGCTGGCAGAGATCCAGCAGTCGGAGCCTCTGGTCACAGAGTCCCGGGCGGATCAGGTCAAACAGCTGATCGTCAGACTGCAGCAGAAACAGGGTCAGCAGGACCACCACCGCTTCTGCTTCTTCAAGGTCAGACCCCGGACTCACACTCACATTTACAGCCATTAATACATAGATCAACACAGTGACATGACATCTGGATCCATTTAAAAAGCTTCTCATAGTGAAGTCAAAATTCATTCAAGCGTTTTCCCTTAAAGTATATCGATATTCAGGATTTCAGGACATGTTTTACTATATATGGTTTTGTTTTTTAAAAGTGTAGAAAGCTATTTGTCTATCGGAATAAGAGAAGTTACAGAAACGCTTGTGGATTTTGCTTCCTATGAAGCAGTTTTACTCTGACATATTTAAGGGAGTTGACAATATTTTGGATATTGACATTTTTGGCAACATCATCTTACTTCCACTGTTTATCAGTGTCCTGTTTTTTGTTCTTTGTGAATTGACTTCTGTAGAAAGTTAGTAGTCTGAGTACTAAAATGATCCAGTGCTCCAAAGAGGCACTAGAGAGCAGCAGTGGTTCAGTTTTTTTTATTAGATGTAAGTCTTTTTTAAGCCAAGTAGGCATGCCAATAATCTGTTATCATGATAACAGGTGCTTCATGAATGTCTACGTGTTTTGAGTAACACACAAAACATGATTTGGTAAAGGTTAAGTTTGGTAATGTGGCTGGAAGTCATAGAAAAAAGTTAACACTGCTGAGAAACTTTTCTGTACTGTGAGCAGTGTGGGCAAGTTACTTCCAAAATGTAATACAGTACATATTACTGTCTTTTTTAAGTAATAAGTTACATTACGATATTACTGTCTCTGAAATGTAATGAGTTACACTACTTCTATATTACTTTTGAGTTACTTTAGCAAAATAACCGCAAAAGAATGGCTAGGTATTTTAAATGCTTAATGTAGTTTAGTGCAGATCATTATACATCCAGTGAAGGGCAATGTGGTATAGCATAACAACTGTGTAGGCCCTTAAGGCTACCAACAACTTGTATTACACGGCTTGGTTGAATACTCGATTCTGATTGTAAATTCTTAGCAGGAGCTCCAACAAGCCGTTTAGGACAGAGAGTGAATACACATACTATACAGAGATGCTGTTTGAGAAACCAATGTGAGTTTGGAAAATTGCACAATATAAATGTATTCTAGTAGACCTCAACAATGGAATTATTATGATCAGTAGAAATGGCCATGACATGGGACCTTTAAAAGACGGAGCGCTGGACGTCAGATAAATCACCAGAAGAAGGCAGAGAGGAAGTAAACAGCAACAGGAACATGGAGTGGGCTCTATAGTTTATATATGGCCGTGTAATAAGTGGGATAATGTGCAGCGAGGCGGTCATTATGGGGAAAAGAACACCCGACAGGCTGATCAGGGAACCCGACACAAAACGGAGGGATCTTGATGAGCCTGAAGGGTAAACACCAGGCTTACTAATCTACTCGCACAATGTTTCTCTGTTATCGGAATATCTTGCGATGTTGGTAAATTCTTAAAAAACAAAACACCATTTAATTTCGGCCAAAAATTAGTTGTGACTGCGTTACTGGGAATTGTAACGGGTAGTATATTACCCAAATTTCATTAGTAATGCGTTGCTGTAACGAAGTAATGTAATACATTACTGTAACTCTGTTACTTTTGTAACGCGTTGCACCCAACACTGACTGTAAGGAGAGAAAGTTCTTTAAACCGCAAGAAAAATGTTCTCCCAGTTACATCAAAGTCAGATCAGATGAATAATTTGTGGGTACTACAGTCATCATTTTATAACTTTTAATTGGGCATATGGTCTTTGAAATGTGCTGCAATGGTGCTTCAGTTGTACGTGTATGTTTTGTTTCAATGCCTTCAGCCTGACAGGGACTGCTGATGACATTCCCCTCATGTAGATTCATGTGCATTGTCCCTTCTTAAATAAATCAATCAAATACCAATAAATTGTACCTTTTTTATTTTTCTAATCTTTTCTCTGGTCTTCTGTTGTAGGAGCTGAAGGCACACATCCTGCCTCTGACAAACGTTGCCTTCGACAAATCAGGGTCAAGGTGGGTGTATCTGCACCACACAGAGCTCTTCAAGGAGTTCAAAGAGGCTCTGTGGTGTGATTTGAGTGTTTACTCCTCTCTGCAGGTTCATCACTGGGAGCTATGACAGGACGTGCAGAGTTTGGGACACGGCCTCGGGCTCAGAGCTGCACACGTTAGAGGGGCACAGAAACGTGGTGTATGCCATCGGATTCAACAACCCCTACGGGTAAGGATGAGTGTCAGTGAAACTGTCGTAGCATCTGAGGAAATGTGCTCTGACTATTTTTGTTTTATCATTCTCTGACTTAGAGACAAGATTGCCACCGGCTCTTTTGATAAGACGGCCAAGCTGTGGTGTGCTGAGACGGGGAAATGTTTTCATACCTTTCGCGGACACACTGCAGAAATAGTATGTATAACAATCTGTTTCAATGAAAATGATTAAATGCTGTTTGTTTCAAATGTTAAAGGCAACGCATTTTGCATATACTCAGTGTTCATGCAATGTCATTTGTATTCTGCAAGTCCCTTTGGTATGGCTTTTATATTGCATAGTTTATTGTTTATTTGTAATCCAATGCAACACTTATGAAGTAAGTTGTTTTATATCGTTCAGGGAGTATTGGAAGAAGTACTCAGATCCTTTATTTAAGTAAAAGTACAAATACTATGGTCTTAGACATTACAAGTCAAATGTCCTGATTTCAAGATCTTACATAAGTAAAAGTACAAAAGTAATCGCCTCAACATATACTTAAAGTACAAAAGTACTTATTCTGCACAATGGCCAATTTCTGAATAATATAAAGTACAGAAATATTTTCCAAACTATCAAAAGTAAAAAGACTTGTAATGCAGAAATGGATCTTTTTACATTATTATGGTTATTATATAATACAGTTTTCATGTGAGAGCATTTTAGCATTGTCGGTGTGGACTCAAGTTAGATATTTGAGTAGTAGAACAGGACTTCATTACACCATATCAGCCTATCATGTGTTTTTATATATATCAAGTTACTACTAACTGTGAGTGTAAAATAAATGTAGTGGCGTAAGTACAGTATTTGTCTCTGAAATGTAGCGGAGTACAAGTATAATGAAGCGTTAGATGGAAATACTCTTTTATTTGTAATATTGTTATTACTATTATTTTATAATTTCTTTTCGGATTTGTCATCTGTTATGTAGTTAACCTATGTATCTAGATGTGTTTATTTTGTTATGTATGCCTTTTGAATATTTTCTTAAAGGTGGGGTAGGTAAGTTTGAGAAACCGGCTCGAGGTACATTTTTTGTTATATTCCATGGAATGCTCTTAACGTCCCGATAGCAATGAATATCTGAAGTGCTTTGACAATAAATCCATAAAAAA